TTGTCATTCTCAGGGGGCAGCTCTACTTTGCGCTTCTGAGGAGGTCGCAAGAGGCCCCAAGATGGCCCCAAAAGGTCCCCGGGAGGCTCCCAAGAGGCCTCCAAGAGGCCCCCAAGAGGCCCCCAAGAGGCCCCAAGAGGCCCCCAAGAGGCCCCCAAGAGGTCCCCAAGAGGCCCCAAGAGGCCCCAAGGGGCCCCCCAAGAGGCCCCCAAGAGGCCCCCAAGAGGCCCCCAAGAGGCCCCAAGAGGCTCCAATAGGTCCCCAAGAGGCCCCACGAGGAGCCCGAACGACTCACACCAGGACGAGGGGCCCGAACGACTCACACCACGAAGAGCCCGAACGACTCACACCACAAGGAGGGGCCCGAACGACTCACACCAGGACGAGGCGCCCGAACGACTCACACCACGAGGAGCCCGAACGACTCACACCACGACGCGGGCCCCGAACGACTCACACCACGAGGAGCCCGAACGAGTCACACCAGGAGGAGGGGCCCGAACGACTCACACCAGGATGAGGGGCCCACAAGGAGGGGCCCGAACGACTCACACCAGGAGAAGGCGCCCGAACGACTCATACCACGAGGAGCCCGAACGACTCACACCACGACGCGGGCCCCGAACGACTCACACCACGAGCAGCCCGAACGAGTCACACCAGGAGGAGGGGCCCGAACGACTCACACCAGGATGAGGGGCCCGAACAACTCACACCACGAGAAGCCCGAACGACTCACACCAGGACGAAGAGCCCGAACGACTCACACCACGAAGAGCCCGAACGACTCACACCAGGAAGAAGGGCCCGAACGACTCACACCAGGACGAGAAACCCCAAACGACTCAAATCACGAGGAGCGCTTTCTCTCCCTCCTCCTCCGCCTCGTCCTTCTCCCGCTCCCCCCACAAGGAGGATGTGCAAGGAGGCGGGAGGAAGGAGGAACAGGGGAGATATGCGGGCCCAAGCGGACACACGCCTGAAAAACACGACTGTCGGCATGCTTCGCAAGAGTTGCTGCTGTGAGATGGGCTGGTGGGGATACGCGAAGCGTAAAGAATTCAGATTGCCCCTCTCTGGCGCCTCTCGGGGCTCTCTTGGGCAGTTTTCTTGGGGCGCTCCTGGGGCTTTATTGGGCCGTCTTGGGGCCCTCCTGGGGCCTCCTGTGAGCCTCATGGGCCGTCTTGGGACGATCCCGGGGGCCCCTTGGGCCGAATGAAACGCTGTAAAAAATCAGCGAGCATGTCGAAAATGTATGTTTCCCTCGATGATCGGGACAATTTTTGCGTCTTGGGGCCCTTTCGGCGGTCCGTTGGGGGCACTCTTGGGCTGTCTTGGGGGCCGTCGTGGGGGCCTCGTTGGCCGTCTTGAAGCTATCCTGGACCGTCGCGGGGTTGCCCTGGGTCGTCTCGACGCTCTCTTGGACTGCCTCGGTACCCTTTTTGGGCTCTTTCGGGTTGTCCTGGGGCTCGGTGGAGGCTTCGGAGATCACCTGTGGTGCGCTGACGAGCTCGTACTCCCCCCAATGGGATTTTGGACCCCTGAGGAGTGGGAGAGGAGGAGAGGGACAGCCAAATGTCTCACACGCAGTTTCACCCAGGATTCTGGTGGCGCCCCCCCCCCAGGCTTTTCGCCGAGATGAGCGTGGCGTGAGACGGGGGAATGACGGTGTGGGCTCCAAAGTTTCGGTGAGGGGTCTGAGGGTCACTTAGTTTTCCAGCCTGGTCAGTCGGGACGTCGAAGAGTCCGGCGAAGTCATGCGGCGCCAGATCGATCAGAATTGCCGCGCGGTCGAGGAGTCTATGTTTCGCGCCGTTCCAAGTCCCTCGGGCGATGATGTTGCCTTGACCCTCGAGTTGACCGAGAGTCTCGCGCAGAAGTCGACGGGCGCCAAGTGGACATCGGGCGAGCTGGAGCTGAACTGCGGGTGGCTTGTGAACGGGATGATCCGTTGTTTCCCCAAAGCAGTGCACCGCGACAAGGCGCTGGGCTGGCTACCGAGCGCGCTGGGCCACCAGGAGACTGTACTCGCTAGGCCTGAGAGCACCCAGAGGCGCTTGGCCACGTCTCGAAGACGTTGAGTTTTGTCTCCTGAACACGCTGGGTTGACAGAGGACGTTGGACTCTCCTGAGCTGGGCCCCAACAAGGTGGCACTGACCTGTCTCCAGAGTGCGCTGGGCCAGCAGAAGGCACGGGGCTGGCTCTTGAATTCACTGTCCCACCAGTTGGCATGGGGCAGGTTCTGCAGGAGGCGCTCCACGGGCATCGCCTGACGGCTTCGGGGTGCAGCCGGGTGTGGCCCGAGTGCGCGCTCTGCTGGCCCAGATCGGCTTGCCAGGGCGTCGAAGGCACGAAGACGGACTGCCGCGGTGCCCCAGATCTCGAGGGGCCTCGGAAGCCGCCGGCAGCGGCCAGCGCAGCTGCCGCCGACCGCGCGGCCTCTGAGCAGAGGCTCCGCGCCCTCGAGACGGGCCCGCGGAAGGGCGGCCGCCGCCGACGGAGCCCGACCTGCGCTGCCTCCAGCAGTGCAGGCCCAGCCCCGGCCGGCAGAGCCGGGGCCGCGCGGCCGACGGCCCCGGCTCGATTGCACGCAAGAGTGACCCCTCGCCAGAGTGGCTCCTGGCCCGCGCCCACTGGGGCCCCCTCGATCGCCGAGCGCAGTGGCGACGAGCAGTAGCGCCCTGCGCGCCCGGTTTTCTTGCGCCCCCCTCCCCGCGGCCCCCCGGAAGCCGCGCACCAGAGGCCACTCTTGCCGAGGGTCACTCTTGGCGTGGAGCCGACCGGCGAGCTGGGCGGGGTGGATCTGCGCAGCGCGAGGATGCGCGCACGCAGCCGGGGGGAGGGGCGCTGCCAGGGTCTGCCAGGGACCCCTGGGCCGCGACCCCGACGTCAACTGGAGGGACCCAGTGCCGTTTTTTTTTTTTTTTTTGTTGGATCGCTCCCCACGTGGCCCGAGATGGACCCCAGACTCTGGCGGCTCCGGATGGCCAGAGCACCGCCCGAGAGGGTTTAAGCACAGCCCAAGGAGCTCCAAGACTGCCTCGGAGCTCCTTGAGAGGCAACCGAGCAGTAATGTCCCACAAGCTCATGAAGGATTCCAGAGTTGCCGCCTCTTTGGTCTTGAGAACGTTTAGAGCGCCCGAAGAAGCCCCCAATGTCGCCCCGAGACGGCTCACGAGCGCCCCGCGAGTCCCCAGCTGGCCCCCAAACTGCCCAAGAGGGGCCCAAGACGGCCCGAGAGATCCCCAAGACAGCCCCAAGAGAGCCCCTATCACGCCCAAGAGGGCTTTCGAAGAGCCCCAAGACGCCCCAAGGCGGCCCAGGAGGGCCCGTAGAATTCAACCACGGCCGAGTGAGTTTGACATCTATTGCTGGCCACGAGTACCTTGTGCTTCCGCAACATGGGGCCACATGGGCTCAAAAATTCAGGCGGCGGCAGAGACTCGCCGCAGGCGAGCTTCATATTCTTCTTCCTGCTCCTCGTCATATCCCTTCTCCTCCTCCTCCTCCTCCTCCTCCTCCTCCTCCGCATTCTCATCATCCATGTTCCTGAATCCTCCTACTTCTACTCCTTCATCTCCTTCATCTCCCTCCTCGCCCCCACCTTCCAAGAGGGCACACAAGTGCACCTGGAGGACCCTCAGATCTTTAGGTGCAGTTCGGGTTCTGGGGCATTCATTAGTTTTTTTTTTGTCTCAGGAATACTCTAACTTTTGGGCTGAAGTCGCTCTACGGTGTCCCCGGGAGAGGCCACACGCCATCTAAACAGCCCCGAGGTGACCTTAATACGCCATCGGCACTGTGCGGTCTCTTCCGCGCTGTGTCCTTGCAAACCCAAGCTCGCTAGAATTTGAGCGCGCGCGCGCGAAGCGCTCGCGATGGCTCTAGTAGTCAGCTCTGCTCTGCCTGCTGTTGCTCTGGTCGGCGACGCTGCTGCTCTGCTGGCCGCCATCGTCAGGTGAGCATCACGAGACTTTTGCGGATGTGATGTGGGCTCGAGCTGGGCGCATTTCCTGAGGGGAGGCACGGGAGCTTGTGTTTGGCTTGGGATGGATGGGCTGTGTCTCTCAGGCGCTTTCCCTTGTCTGCTTCTCTTCTGACCATGACCGCCCCATCATGAGACATCGTCCCATGCTTGGGTCGTGAGTTGGCGTTGACACCGTAGGCTCGCCATTTCAGCAACATGGAGGGGCAGTGGAGAAGGGAGGGATGAGGGAGAGGGGGATCAGGGAGGGTTGATGATGGATGGGTGAGGAGGGAAGGGCGGGGAGGGATGACGTCGGGGATCGCTAATCCCTTCCATTCACCCATCCTGGCCAAGAGAATCCTGGACCCAGGATGAGGATCGCTATAGTGAAGTCGTAGGTGCACCGATCCTGTGCCCAGGACGGGCCTGGCAAGAAATGGTACGTGTGGACAGCTAGCTCGGGGGGAGGGCGATGAGAAGGGAGGGAGAGGGAGGAGGAGGAGGTAGGGAGGATGGAGGAAGGGGAAATGGGAGGAGGGAGTCATGGAGGAGGGGAAAAATGGGGAGGAGGACGAGGACGACGAGGAGAAGGAGGAGGAGGAGGAGGAGGAGGAGGAGGAGGAGGAGGAGGAGGAGGAGGAGGGGGAGGAGGAGGAGGGAGGAGGAGGAGGGAGGCTGGGAGGGAGGGAGGGAAGAGGATGGCCCCGTAGAGAACTCTTTCAGATCTCCCCCCTTCCCCGTCCGCGGTCTCTGGAGGTTCCTGGAGGTCTCAGGAGGTCTTCGGAGGTCCTTTGCGGAACTCCAAGAAGGGACACCATAATCTCCTAACCTAGATCTTCGATCCTCCATCCTTCCTCCAGGAGGGGGGTCGTGGGCGGGAAATGTATCGGCATCCACAGATGTCCCGCGCGGAGCCTACCGATCGCGCGTCCATGGGATCCCGCCTCGATGTCCAGACCGCGAGGACATGGACACGGACATGGATCGTCCGTCGTGAGAGCCGAGGGGTGGGTGGGGCCATCGTCTCCTAAGGCCGCGTCGAGCTCGAGCCCCGCAAAGTCGGTGCTGCCGCCCGTGAAGCCGCCGCCGCCCCTGCGGCTGCCCGGCTCCAGGGAGGCGCGATTCGCGGAGGCGCCCGCGGGGGAGGGGGGGGGGTCTCTGAGGGGGGGCTCTGCAGGGGAGGAAGAGCAGGGTGGATAGGGAGCACTGTGAGGAGGAGGAGGAGGGAGAAGGGAGAGGAGGAGGAGAAGGAGGAGGAGGAGGAGGAGGAGGAGAAAAAAAGGAGGGAGACGCTCCTCCGGAGAACAGGAGGAGAGGAATGATGATACTGATGCTGCTGCTGATTACGATGATGAGGAGGAGAAGGAGGAGGAGGAGGACCAGGACGAGGAGGAGGAGGAGGAGGTGGGGGAGAAGGCGGAGGAAGATGAGGAGGATGGGCGTCGAAGAGGAGGGGAAGGTGGAGTATACGTATGATGATGGTGTTGGCGACTCTAATGCCGCTGTTTCTGCTGCTGCTGCTGATGATGCTGGTGATGACGTTGATGACGATGACGATGACGATGACGATGACAATGATAATGATACTAGTTCCCTACCTAGGCTCTGCCTAGAAGGGTTCTTACTCTGGAAGCTTACAGGGGCTGGGCAGTGCAACTCGCCCCGGGCGGTTCCCCCGGCATCCGCCCCGCGGTTCCCCCAGTTACGTCCCCTTAGCTTAGCGTTGTTTATCTCATCCTAGCTTAGCTTATTTCATCTTAACTTAGCTTAGCTTCATCTTAGCTCAGGTTCATCTTAGCTTAGCTTACCTTCATCTTAGCTTCGCTGAGCTTTAGCATAGCAGAACACAGCTCCTGGTCCTCCTGCCCCGGATCTGTGGGTGTATTTTGTGGCGCTCGTGTGTTCCAACCGCGTTGCCAGTTTACTTTTCTGTTCGGGTAATTAGCATGGGTGTAATTCCCTACCTAGGCTCTGCCTAGAGGGTTTGCTTAGCTTAGCTTAGCTTAGCTCAGCTTAGCATAGCGCAGCGCTGCATTAGCATAGCATAGCATAGCACAGCATAGCATAACATAGCCAAGCAAATCATATCATAGCATAGCATAGCGCAGCATAGCATAGCATAGCACAACATATCGCAACTTAGCATAGCATAACATAGCATCGCACAGCTTCGCATAGCACAGCGCAACATGACATAGCACAGCTTAGCATAGCATAGCATAGCATAGCATAGCGCAGCATAGCATAGCATAGCATAGCATAGCGCAGCATATAATGGCATAGCATAGCACAGCATAGCATAGCATGGCATAGCAACTAATGCTGCTTTCCTAGGGGCTCCAACTTCTCGGTAGGGTCGCACTGGGGTAATGATGATGATGCTACTGATGATGCTGATGCTGATGCTGATGATGTTGATGATGATGGTGATGACGGTGATGATGATGCTGATGATGCTGATGATGATGCTCATGATGATGAGGAACACGATGAGGATGAGCATGAGGATTATGATGATAATGATGAGGATGATGATGAGGATTATCATGCTGATGATGGTGGTGGTGGTGATGATGATGACGTCGACGATAAGGATGATGGGGATGGTGATGATGATTATGAGGATGATGACGACGACGATGATGATGATGATGATGGTACTGATGATGACGACGACGAAGCCGATGACGATGACTGTGATTATGATTATGATGATAATTCTGATTCTGATGATGATGACAATGCTGACAATTATGACAATGATGATGGTGACGATGCTGCTGCTGCTGATGATGATGATTATGACCATGACGACGACGCTGACGATGATGATGATGATGATGACGACGACGATGATGACGATGATGCTGATGATGATGATGATGATGATGATGATTATGATGCTGATGGCAACGCTGACAAGTATGACAATGATGATGATGATGCGGTTGATGATGATGATGGTGATGATGATGCTGCTCATGATGATGATGATGATGATGACGATGATGATAGTGATGATGATGATAAGGCTGATGATGATGGTGATGATGCGGCTGATGCTGATAATGAAGCTGCTGCCTCTTCTGCTGTTGATGATGATTTAGATGCTGCTACTGATGCTGCTACTGATGCTGCTGCTGATGATGACGATGATGACGACAACGACGATGATGATGATGACGCTGATGATGATACTGACGATGATGATGATGATGATGATGATGATGATGATGCTGATGGTGATGCTGATGCTGATGCTGCTGATGATGATGATGATGATGATGATGATGATGACTGTGATGATGCTGATGATTATGATGATGCTGCTGATGATGATGAGGATGCTGATGATGATGGTAATGTACGATGCGGCTGCTGCTGATGATGCTGATGCTGATTCTGATGATGAGCCTGATCATCATCATGAGGAGGACGATGATGATGCTGATGACGATTATACTAATGATGGTTATGATGATGACGATGCTGATGCTGATGCTGCTGATGCCGATGATGCTGATGCTGAGGCTGATGCTGATGCTGATGATGATGATGATGATGATGATGATGATGATGATCATGCTGATTATGATGACGAGGTTGCTGCTGCTGATGATGATGATGATGATGCTGCTGTTGCTGATGATGATGATGATGATGATGATGATGATGATGATTATGATGGCAATGATGGCACTACTGACAATGATAATGTCGATGCTGATGCTGATGCGGATGCGGATGATGTTGATGCTGATGATGATGATGATGATGATGAAGATGACGATGATGATGTTGATGCCGATGATTCTGTTGCTGCTGAAAATCATGATGATGCGGCTGATGCTGATGATTATGATGACGACAACGCTGTTGATCATGTCACCGCCGCTAGTAATGACAATAAGGATGACGACGATGATGATGATGATGATGATGACGATGATATTGATGCCGATGATGATGCTGACGACGACGACGACGACGATGATGATGATGATGATGATGATGATGATGATGATGATGACGATGACGCTGATGATGATGATGACGATGCTGATGCTGCTGTTGATGATTATGCTGATGATGACAGCCATGATGATGCTGCTGCTGATGATGACAACGCTGACAATTATGACAATGATGATTGTGACGATGCTGCTGATGATGATGAGCATGATCATGACGACGACGATGACGATGACGATGATGATGATTATGATGCTGATGGCAACGCTGACAAGTATGACAATGATGATGCGGTTGATGATGATGCTGATGCTGATCATGATGATGATAACGATGATGATACTGACGATGATGATGATGATGATTCTGATGCTGATGGCAACGCTGACAATTATGACAATGATGATGCGGTTGATGATGATGATGATGATGATGATGATGATGATGATGATGATGATGGTACTGATGATGATGATAATAATGCTGATGATGGTGATGATGCGGCTGATGCTGATAATGAAGCTGCTGCCTCTTCTGCTGTTGATGATGATTATGATAATGATTTTGATGCTGCTACTGCTGATGCTGATGCTGCTGATGATGACGATGATGACGACAACGACGATGATGACGACGACGATGATGATGATACTGACGATGATGAAGATACTGATGGTGATTATGATGATGATGACGATGATGGTTATGCTGCTTTTGATTATGACGATGATGACGATGATGATGATGATGGTGATGCTGATGATGGTGATGCTGCTGCTGATGCTGATAATGAAGCTGCTGCCTCTTCTACCGTTGATGACTGTTAGAATTATGATGTTGATGCTGTGGCTGCTGCTGATGCTGCTGCTGACGCTGATGATGAGGATGACGACGACGAGGATGATGATGAGGATGATGATGATGGCGACGACGACGACGACGATGATGATGAGGATGAGGATGAGGATGAGGATGGTGATGGTGATGGTGATGACGATGATGATGATGATGATGATGATGATGATGATGCTGATGCTGATGCTGATGCTGATGCTGCTGCTGCTGATGATGATTATGATGATGCTGACGATGACGATGATGATGATGATGATGATGATGATGATGATGATGATGATGATGATGATGATGATGATGATGATGATGACGATGATGATGATGATATGTATATTGAGGACGGTAGCAGGCTGAGTACTCCCCAGTCTTTTTCAAGTATCAGCGCGACATTTAGATCGAGGTCCGTGGGTCCAACGAACAGAAGTATCCAGGATTGTTGCTCATTTTGTACCTTCGATTCAATACAGGATTGGCACGCTTCAGGGCGCGTCAATATAAAGCAAACTTATCGCCCCCCTCATCTACCTTCCCTGCCTCCTCGCTCCCTCCCTCCCTCCCCCGGTTCCCCTTTCCTTCAGACCGATGGTAAGACTGGTAATCTGCGTAAGGGCGCTCGCAACAGAAAGAGGAGGAGGAGGAGGAGGAGGAGGAGGAGGAGGAGGAGGAAAAGGAACAGGAGAAGGCGAACATGAAGGATTAGGAGGAGGAGGCGGAGGAGGCGGAGGAGGCGGAGGAGGAGGAGGAGGAGGATAAGGAGGATGAGGATGATGAGGAGGAGGAGGAGGATGAGGAGGAGGAGAAGGAGGAGGAGGATGAGGGGGAGGAAGGGGAGGAGGAGGAGGAGGAGGAGGAAGGAGGAGGAGGAGGAGGGAGGAAGGAGGAGGGAGGAGGGAGGAGGAGGACGAGGAGGAGGAGGAGGACGAGAAGGGGGAGGAGGAGGAGGATGAGGAGGAGAAGGAGGAATAATAAGTTCAACAATAATACGAGGAGTAGTTAGAATAATAATATGACGAAACCTACAACTAATACTTATACGGATATTCATAATGAGGATCATACTATTCAGGGTAGTAGTAGTATTTACGACGACGACTACCACTACTAGTACTAAGAATAATGCTTGATCGTAACTATAGCTGTAAGCTTAGTACTGATATCAAGCACACCAACAGTACTAAAACTACTAAGAAGTACAATCATACTACTAGTGATGCAAACAGTGCTACTAATACGACGAAGCAGAAGTCACAGTCTCATGCTAATAATCATACCAGTACTATTAAGAGTGACAGTGCTACGAATAGCATTGTTGCGCACAGTACAAACAAGAAACCATATACGAAGCATCGTACTGCTACGAATTATAAAGCACTAAAACAACGATCAACACGACTAATAATATTGCCAAGACGACGACGAACACGAGCGAGCGAACCACGCGAGCATGCCTGTCGGCTGCTCGGCCCTGTGCAGGGCATGGGTGTAAAATTCGACTACCAGCCAGACAGCATATATGAAACGTGAGCAGAATGTGGAATTGGGAATTCGGAAAAATGCAACAGAAGGGGGGGAAGCGGGGGAAGGAGGAGGAGAAAGGGGGGGGAGGGGGAGGGAGGGGCATCACAATTTCATCATGCAGAACTTGATGTACTGCTCCTCCCTGCCCGGCGCCTGCAGCGCCTGTTCCAGAGAATTTGCCCCGACTTGCGTGTAGAACTGTTTGAAGTCATCAATCCATTGCAGCGGTGGTCTGCCTCGTGCTCGTTTGCGAGTTTGTGAGCAAACTGCAGATGTCGAAGAACAGGCGCCCACTTCTCAACTCCTCCACAGAAGAGCCGGCGAGCCAGCCGCCACTTCAAAGATAAAATCCTTTCCGACACGTCTGGGGAGGGCGCTGTGGACAGCATGTTCGACACGCGCGTCTGCATCCTGCGCATGGTGTCCTGCCAGCTTTCACCTTCCGCTCTCCTCCAGCCAGCCATATTTCGGAGCATCTTTCTCCGCGCTCCCCGGAGTATGGCGTGGTGCTGCGGCTTCAGCGCCAGGCTGGCCAACCCGTATAGCAGGACTGGCAGGACCGCGGAGTTGAAGAGCTTGATGCGATGACCGGCGCCGACATGCTGGCTCATCAGAATTTGGCGCTTTTTCTGAAATTGGTGCCATGCCGTTGATATCCTCCTCTTGACGGCAACTGTTGCCCTGTTCTTTGACAAGTTGAGAGCTCTCCCCAAATATGCGTGAGATTCGTCCGGGGACAGCACGTGAAAACAGCGGCCTGCAATCCATTCGATTTTGCAATTGCCGGGTGGCGCACCAGCGTCTCTGGAGGATAAGATCTTGGTCTTCGCGGCGTTCAGTTGCAGCCCTACGGCTTGGAATTCCTCAATTAAGAGCGAGAGCGTGATTTTGGCGTCCTCCAGCGAGCGGGCATAAAGCAAAACGTCGTCTGCGAACCCGATGTTCGTGAAGCGTTCTGCCTGCCCTGGGAATTCCCATCCCTGCGTTGTGAGGCGGCCTCTCCACCGGTTGAACACCATCTCCATTACTGCGTTGAATAAACACGGCGATTGGGCGCCAGTTTGAAGCTTTTGACGCGTCTCCCGGCTTAGGCAGCATTGTGAAAGTACTATGCAGCCATTCTCTCGGGAACGCCCCATCGTTCAGACATTTGTTGTGCTGATCAAGAATGATCTTCTTGGCTCGCAGAGGTAAGTGTAAAATATGCTCTAACGCAATCCCCTCGGAGTCCACGGCCTTGTTGTGCGCCAGCTTTCCCAAGGCCGCCCTGAGTTCTGCCGTGCTGAGCGGAGGAACGTCGCGGAAAGCAGTTCGCGGCAGCGGTCTTTCAGCTGGCGTCTCCCTCGAGTGCACGTCGGCGAGAGCTCGCGCAAGCTCCCCGTCGGTTGGCCGCTTGGCAGGAATCCCCCGCTCAACCGGAACGTGACATAGAACGTCCAAGCGGGACAAACCTTGAAACTCCGACAGAATATTCGTGGCCTGCCGAGTCTTCCAAACACGAACCTTTGTCCGAAGTACCCGCTTCCAGCGCCAATGCAAGGCTTTCCTCTTGAAAGGGCCCCTCTCCTGATCCCGGTCTCTCTTCGCCTGCAGGACAACATCTGAATTCCAGGGGTTTGGGATCGTCGCTGTCTGCGTTTGCAAGTGTTCCCCTGCTGAAGAGCGGATGGCATGTTCTATATCGGCGAAATTGCAAACAGTATGACGTGAGGCCCATAAGTCCACTGACTCTGTGTATCGCTGGATGTTTTGGCCAGGCACATCAGACCATTTATATCGAGAGTTTCGCTGTCTGCTTGTCCAGTGTCTGGCAACCTTGAACTCTATGGTAGCGGATACGGCACGATGATCTGACCCAAGGTCAAGAAGATTTGTGCTGCCACTCGTCATGCATCTGGCGCGCGAGCCGATCATAATAGCAAAAAGAAGACACACAAGCCGAACCACATCACTAAGATGAATAGGACAACACTTAGGAGGAGGAGTGTGGGGCGAGGAGGAGCAGGGGAGGATGATGAGGGGGAGGAGGAAGAGGGGGCGGAGGCGGATGAGGAGCATGATCAGGAGGAGGAGGAGAAGGATGAGGAGGAGGAGGAGGAGGAGGAGGAGGAGGAGGAGGAGGAGGAGGAGGGAGGAGGAGGAGGAGGAGGAGAGGATGGGGGGCGGACGGGGAGGACGAGAAGGAGGAGGAGGAGGGACAGTAGGATGAGATGAGGGTAGGAGGAGGAGGAGGAAGAGGAGGAGGAGTAGGAGGAGGAGGAGGGGAGGACAGGAGCAGGAGCAGGAACAGGAGCAGGAACAGGAGCAGGAGGAGGTGGATGAGAAGGATGAGGAGGAGGAGGAGGAGGAGGAGGAGGAGGAGGAGGAGGAGAAGGAGGAGGAGGAAAAGGAGGAGGAGGAGGAGGAGGAGGAGGAATAATAATAATAGTAATAATAATAATAATAATAGTAATAATAATAATAGTACCAATAATAATAATCATAATACTAATAGTAGTAATAATAATAATAATAATAATACTACTAATAATAATATGAGGAGGACGAAGGAACAGGAAGAAGAGGAGGAGGAAAAGGAGGAGGCGGAGGAGGCGATAAGGAGGATGAGAAGGAGCAGAAGGAAGAGGAGGATGAGGAACAGGAGGGGGAGGATGAGGGGGAGGATGGGAAGGAAGGGGAGGAGGAGGAGGCGGAGGAGGACTGAGGAGGAGGAAGACGAGGAGGAGGAGGAGGAGCAGGGGCAACGCGAATCGGAGGATTATGAGGAGGCGGGAGGAGGAGACCGAAGAGAGCTTGGTGGAGGAGGGCGTTGGCTGGTTTCGGTGGCCATCGTCGCCGCTGCTGTTACGGTCGCCTGAGGCGGAGGAGACGCCCATCGAGGAGGCATCCCGAGAACAAATCCAGGATCGTTACGACGAGCCGGAGAAGGTGATCGTCGAGGCCGTTTGGGGGGCTCTGCCTTCCGTGCTGTGCTTCTTCCGCACGCCTGTGCAAGGAGAGAGATAGTTGTTGGTGGGAAAGGGGGGATCAAAGGGGTATGAGGAACAGTATTCTGGGGGGATGGAGGGGGGGGCTTGGAGAGCCGTCGTCGCAAAGACTAGGTTCGCATCGAAATTCTGGTCAAACAACGCTCCGAAGAGGAGTAGGAGTAGGAGGAGGAGGAGGAGGAGGAGGAGGAGGAGGAAGGGAGGAGGAGGAGGAGGAGGAGGAGGAGGAGGAGGAGCAGGAGTTGGAGCAAGAAGAGAACGAGGATGACAATGACGATTGTGAATATTGATGCGGGATGAAGGGGGGAGGAGGTACGAGGAGGGAGGGAAGAGGGAGGAGGAATGAGGAACAACAGCAATGAGGAGGCGGATGAGGAGGAGGAGGAGGAGCAGTCGGAGGAGGAGGAGGAGTAGGAGGAGGATGAGGAGGATAAGGAGGATGAGGAAGAGAAGGAGGAGGAGGAAGAGCCTCCCGACCCCCAACTCCCGCCTCTTGACACCGCCGCGTAGGTCCACGGACTCGACTTTCGCCTCAGGACCTACTCCGCAGAGGAGCTGGCGGAGCTACGCCAGCTGACCTGCGAGGCGGTCCTCGAGGCCTCGCGTCGCGGTCGTCGTCGCGGCAGGCTCGGTGGAAGAGGGAGAAGAGGGAGAAGAGGGAGGATGAGGAGAATGAGGAGGAATTGAGGAGGGGGATGGGGGGTATGAGGGGGAGGATGAGGGAGTCGAGAAGATGCGGAGGGAGTGAGTGAGTGAGTATGGGGAGGCGGAAGAGTCCAGGAGGAGTGGGTCGGAAGAGAGCCAAGGAGCAGGTGTAGGGTTTTTGTGTGATTGAGCGACGGGTTGGGTGGTGATGATGAGGATGAGGATGAGACCATGGAACGATCCATGATGATGGTGATGGTGATGGTGATGATGAACATGATATCGATGCTTCTGCTGATGATGATGATGATAATGATGATGCTGACGATGATGATGATGCTGATGCTGCTGATGATGATGATGATGACGATGCTGATAATGCCGATGACGCTGATGCTGCTGATGATGATGATGCTGCCGACCATTCTGACGCTGATGATGGTGATGATTTCGTTGATACCGAATGTGATGAGTATGATGCTGATGATGGCGATGACGATGACGATGCTGATGCTGCTTATGATTCTGATGAATGATGGTGATGGTGATGCTGATGATGCTGATGATGCTGGTGATGCTGCTGATGATGATGGTGATGAGGTTGATGTTGTTAATGCTGATGCTGATGATGTTGATGATGATGCTGATGATGCTGATAATGATGCTGCTAACGATGATGCTGCTGCTGATGATGATTATGACGCTGATGATGCCGATGCTGATGCTGGTGATGATGAGGATGATGATGCTGATGACGATGATGAATATGATGCTGATTCTATAGGCTTACGCCACATCCGCCGACCCCTCATCTTGGCGGTCTTGCCGGAACCTCGGGTTCACAGCCCGCAGTTGCCAGGCGTATCAGTGCGGCGGCGCGTGCAAGAGAAGACTACCGACGTCGGCGTTCTCCGGGAACCCTGCCAACGTCGCACGCGATGCAAAAAAGGGCACCCTGATATGCAAGACCTGCAAATGATGCCCAATCGGGGGCGCGCGTGGGGGGGAGGACAGGGGGGAGGGGGAGAGAGGGATGGGGGGTGAGGCGGAGGATGGGGGGAGAAGAATCGGGGAGGAAGAGGAGGAGGCGGGGGAGGAAGAGGAGGAGTGGGCGAGGAGGAGGTGGAGGAGGAGGAGAAGAGGGGGAGGACGGGGACACAGAGACGAAACTCTGGGATATGTGCTATTGGTTAGAAACTTGTTGTATGTGTATAGGGATCTCGCGGCACGCCTCTCGGGGACCTTTGGAAAGCAGTTTTGAACCCACCTGGCGGCCGAGGTGGAGGAGGAGGAGGAGGAGAAGGAGGAAGGGGACACAGAAACAAGGCTCTGGGTTATGGGTTTTGGGTTAGGGCCGTCTTGCACCAGCTTGGGACCAATTTGGAGACAGGTTTTGCCGTCTTGGGGTCGTCTTAGGCCGAATTGGGAGGCGTCCTGGGCCGTGTTGGGATTCTCTGGGGCCGTCTTGAGGCCCTCTTGGGGCGCCGTGGGGCGATCTTGGAGGCTCTTTGGGCTACGTGAGCCGACGGAAGCCGGGAAAGGCAACAATTGCAAACATGTTCAACAACGCAATGGAAATGTAATGAAATGCGTAATGTGCGCCTCTTTCAGATGTCCTGGGGGTCTTCTTGGAGACTTCGTGGGCGATAGTGAAAGCCTTGTCGGCCATCTTGAGGCCATTTTGGGCCGTCTTCGAACGTTCTTGGGCCGTGTTGGAGCCATCTTGGGCCGTTTTGGAGCCATCCTGGGCCGTTTTGGAGCAATCTTGGCCTCGAGAGCGCGAATCATTTTTTTGTGCGCAAACGCAACCCCGCCACCGTGCCTGGGTTGTTGATATGAGACTTGTGCGGTGATCGTTGGGATCTCTTGGGGGGCTTTTCGCGGGACTCTTGGAGGCAGTTTCGAAGCCTCTTGGGGGCCGTTTTGGAGCCTCTTGGGGGCCTCTTGGGGCCTCTTGTGGGCGTCTTGGGGGCCTCTTGGGGCCTCTTGGGGCCTTCTGGGGCCGCCTTGGGGCGGAAGGCTCGGATTGTCGGTTCGGGCTCCCCCTCTTGGGCACCTCTTGGGGCCGTCTTGGGGCCCTCTTGGGCTGTCTTGGGGGCCTCTTGGGCCGTCTTGGCGCCCTCCTGGGCCGACTTGGGCGCCTCTTGGGGGCCTCTCGGGGCGGTCTTGGGGTGCTCTGGGACCGTCTTCAACGCCGTGAAGGCCGAGAAGTAGTATGTGATCAAAATGTACGTTTTCCCATAGGAATTGACGATTTTCGGCGCTTCGGCCCTTCTGAGGACTGCTCTTGGAGGCGTCTTGGGCCGTCTTGGAGGCCTCTAGGCTCGTCTTGGGGGCATCTTGGGCGTCTGGGAGCGCTCGTTTGGCGCCTCGGAGCTCTCGTGAGCCGTCTTGGAGGAGTCTTGGGGCCTTCTTGGCCCGTCTTGATCCCCTTTTGGGCCCAAAAGAGCCCCGTGGTGCGCTCGTCTGCGGCCCGGGGGGGGGGGGTCAAATCTCCGGTTTGGGGTCCCAGGGGGGGGGTTAGGGGGGGGGAACTATCTCACACGCCTAGAGACCCACAAGGGGTCGGCGGATTATGATGATGCTGGTGATGGTAAGGATGCTGGCGACGATTATGTCGGTGATGCTGGTGACGATGTTGTTGATGCCGAATGTGTTGATGATGCTGATGATGTCGATGCTCATGACGATGCGGATGCTGCTGATGATGCTGATGACGATGAATGATGGCGATGCTGATGATGATGCTGATGCTGATGATGCTGGTGATGCTGCGGCTGATGATGATGCTGATGATGCTGATGATTGTTTGCAATGATGAGTACGCAGATGATGCTGATGATGCCGATGATGGTGATGCTTATGCTGACGATGATGTGGTTGTTGTTGTCGCTGCTGTTGTTGCGGTGTATGATGATGCTGATGCTGATGATTGTGACACCGATGTTGCTGATGACGATGATGGTGATGATGATGATGATGATGATGATGATGATCATGCTGCAGATGCTGCTGATGATGATGATAATGATGCTGCTGATGATGATGATGATGACGATGATGCGATGATGATGATGCTGCTGCTGCTGATGATGATGATGATGATGATTGTGGCGATGCTGATGAGGTTGATGATGCTGCTGCTGATGATTTTTATTAGTAGTATTCTCACTATTCCAGTATTATCACAAGTTTTTGCATTACTATTTGATGATGATGATGATGATGATGATGATGATGATGATGATGATGATGATGATGACGATGATGATGCTCCTGATGCTGGTGATACTTAATTCATACGAATGACATGTCGATGATTGTCATGATGACGGTGATTGTGATGAGGATGAGGGTGGTGTTGGCTATGCTTAATATGATGATGTTGATGCTGATGCTGATGCTGATGCTGATATGGATGCTGATGCTGCTACGGATGATGGTGATGAGGAGGAGGACCAGTGTAAACCCAATATGCACCGACGATGTTGCAGTACACCCTCCCTCCACGTCCCCTCTTCATACGTCCTGACAATCTTCTTTTCTTTATGTGGTAAGTGCAGCATTGAAAATCATGTTTGAGAATCCGCAATCGTGCCACAGCAACAAATCAACGTGACGCATGCTTCCCGACAGTCAAAAGTCGTGCCAGGGCAGCATTCCAGGGATTTCAACACAGCGAATCAACGTGACTGTTGCGCCCTGGCAGTCCTAAATCGTGCCATAACATAATTCCTGGGACTTCAATCCTGGGACTCCTTGAAACTGTTGCGAGTTTCTAACACGAATGTGCGCAGCGCCAAGACGAAAACCATATTTTGAAAAGGACCCGCCCTCAATCCTTGAAGCGGTTGCCAGTTTGCATGACGGGTGTGCTTGGCGCCAAGGCGATAGCCACAGATTGAAAAGGATCCGCCCGACATTTTTGAAACCGCTGCAGGTTTCAAGCGTCAGGATCATACATGGTGAGTGGTCTCAGGCGGGACGCCCAGCCCGCCCTGCCGACACGTTTTGGGGTGCGACCGATAGGAGTTATATATGTTCGCGGGCTCAGTGCCCACGGGCCCCCCCCCCAGATGGGATGGGTCCCAAGGTCCTGGGCCCCCCCCCCGGATGGGATGGGGGGGGGAGGAGGAGGAGGAGGAGGAGGAGGAGGAGGAGGAGGAGGAGGAGGAGAAGGAGGTGGAGGAGGAGGAGGAGGAAGAGGAGGAGGACGACGGCGACGACGACGACGACGACGACGACGACACCGACAACGACGACGACGACAACGACGACGACGTCGACGGCGATGACGAGGACGACGACGACGACGACGACGGACGACGACGACGACGACGACGACGACGACGACGACGACGACGACACCGACAACGACGACGACAATGACGACGACGACAACGACGACGACGTCGACGGGACCACCAGCGGCGGCGGCGACGACGTCGAGCACCGGAGCTTTCAACCTGACGCCAATCCCAGCAACACGCCGCACCCACACCGCACCCACAGTGGGGGAGGGAGGGGGGGACGAGGACCATGGCGTCACCCCGCACACACCCACAGCAACACACCCACACCCACACCACATCCACAGGGGAGGGGGGTTGGAGCCACCACGCCACGCCCACGTCCACAGGGGGGGTGGGCATCGCGCGGGGGGGGGGGCCCGATGTCATTAGCATTGGGGGGGGGCCCAAAGCCTCGACCATCTATAAGGAGACGTGATGGAGGACGAGGGAGGTCGGACCGGCGGGAGGGAGGATGAGGAGTAGACGAACAAGAAATCCAGATTTCCCACAGCCATCACGCAATCAAGCATGATGGGGAAGGCTTGGTGGGGTTCCAGGGGGCTCTGGCTAGGGGTCTTTTGGGATTCTAGGAGAGCCTCGTCCTGCTCCTCCTCCTGCTCTCCTTTGTCGTCTCTCTTACTCCTCTTCCGCGCCGTAAAGAGAGAGAGAGAGAGAGATAGCATGTGTAGAGAGAGCACCTGAGGGACGGGGTGGGGTTGAATGAGCGCTGGGGTACGGGGCATGTACTTCGTGTCTTGACACATTTACGGTTTGGAAGTATAGCAACATCAGGGTCAACACAACGGCGCGTGTTGGGCTCGGTGCTGGTGCGTTGGTGGCCCCAAGTAGTGCCCTTCGCAAGCCATGGGGCAACCCATAGGACAGCCACAGTACAACTACGAGACAGCCGCGTTACAATCGCCGCGAGGCCCCGTGAGACGGGAACACAATCTTGTTTCTCGTTTTGGCCCTGGCCTTGGCGACACATGATTGCCCTTGCGCAGCGTCGCCTAGCCCGCACGCTTCACATGAAGAAGCACACCTGATCATTGATTAGGCTTCCCTGGTTGTACTTATCGCGACCGCGCTCGAGCAGAAGCCGTGTTCTCCCGGGTTGGGGGCGGGCGTACGCGAGCAGGTGGGAACATGCCAAAATATTGTCGTGCAACGGACTTGGGATACGTCAAGCACAGTTTCTTGGACGCACACAGACGCGTGTACACGCGCCTACGCTCTGGAGCGGCCAAGAGAGGGGTGATGACTGGGGGGGGTGCATATCATGGCAAGGGCCATGATACCTCCCCAGATTTCATGTTGCCTCTTCTTGTTTCAACACGTCCCTTGCTCCCCCCCTGGGTCGCGCACATGCCTCGGGCCATGATCTGTGACCCCCCCTGCTGGACGCCCCCCTCTTGGACGTCCCAGAGCGTACGCTCGTGCGCTTCTGAGTCGGCGGCGCAGAGGATCCTCAGGCGCGAGCGGCAGATGGAGGTGCTAGTTGCGATCGAACACTGTCGAAGGCACAGTGTACAAAACGTGCACACTGTCAATGCATCGATGGGTGGTGTGAGGGAGGAGCTGTGAATCCAAACGGAACGTGCAGCGGCCAGACAACCGAGGAACGCTCGTGCACGCACGCGCACGTTTGTGGTGTCGCGGCCACGCTGCGAGCGGTGCCCGGCCGGGAGGCCCTGGTGCGGGCGGCGGCGGGCAGCGACCTCAAGACGGACACGGCGTCCTCGAGCACCGCCCGGGCAGGCGCG